TATTACGCAACAAAATTTAAGGTTTTCGGAACACATTTAAAATGAAAAAAAAAAGCTTAACAGGCAAGTCTATTTATTGATATGGCACGGTAGTATCGTTAAAAAAACCTTAAGGAGACAGGAAGTCATTTAACAAAGTATCGACTGAAAAATAAGTAAAAGTGACTTTTCAAATATCTCTAGTAAAAATCTTTTATAGAAGAATTTTTTTTGTTGAAATAAGTTCAAGGGGTGTTTCAAAAATGCTCTAAGGGAATTAACTTTCTTTACTTCTTTTTATTATCTACCTACGAAATTTTTTTAAATCTAAGTCTACCAATGTTTTTGCGGTTTAATACGCATAAGACACTGCAATGTAACGCACTTTGCATCAGCTTCTTTAGTAATGCTCTTTCAACTCTTTTTAAGGCTCCTTAATAACTACTTGGCACCTGGCAAGCTTCAAATAATGCTGCAATAAGTAAAGCCCTATCATCAACGAAAAGAAAAGTTACTAGGACTCCTACTAAATCTTATTAGACTCTAAACAAAGTTTTCTAAAAACCCTCACGTTAACTACTTTAACATAACAATGAACTTCGGAAGCCTAAAAATAAACGGATATTAGATGAGCTTTGGTTAGATTGGTACTTACCGTTATATATCCGATTAAAACACTTTCTTTGTGTTCACTGGATGCCATGGTTCATCCGCAACCGAAATTTACCCCGAGGCTGAAACCGTTTAATGAAGAAAAAAAAAATGAAATTAAGCTAAAGCTTAATAATATTATTATTACCTGAGATTACAATCAAGCCTTAAGAAGATCTGATATACTGCTTAATCTGAATATAATGGGCACGAATGCCCACCCGAAGGATTGCGCAGTTATGACTGTCTCGAAAGACTGAAAAAGCGGAAAATCGGGCTCGAATTCTTACCATTCAGTCAAGAGTGGTGGAAATCCGACACCCCCCGACTAGAGAGGCGGTCCTAGGTAAAAAGACCCTGGCCAGCCCCATTGCCTGTCAGACCTCCACGACTAAGAGTTCCAATCAAGGGGTGGGGGTCCTTCCTTGGCTAGTTATTAGAACAAATAAGCTTTATATAGATACGCAAACGACCAGTATTAACCAATAGTTCGGGGAAATTATAAAGTGGTTAGATCTTAAAGCTCATAAAAATCTACACCGAGGAACCTTTTTTTACTACAATTAGTATTTTTTTGGATTCCTTAGTAACCAGTCATGAGGGTCTAAAATGTGAGCAAATTGTTAGAATTGATTTGCAAATTAAATTAAATTTATTGGCAGTCCATATAATTGTGAACAAACACAACAAAAGAAACAAGAGATTATTCTCCTATTTTGCGCTCCTTTGTCTTATCGCTATTTGTTTTGCCTACAGAGCTTAACTAGTCGTTTAGAACAAATCAAAATTAATCAGTTGCTAGGACCCCCGAAAAACATGTGCTTATCGGGTTAATAATGAAAATTTATAATCGTAATTATTGTTGGTCGTCTAAATAAGTATTTTATTACCATATTAAATTTATGTATTTTTAAATGCTTACTTCTAACGAATAAGGTATAAAGTTAAAAACTGGGGGCGGCCACTTAACCTTCTCAAAGGACAATATTAGGTCTTAAAGGTTGTTAAGATTCCCACCACGCCTAAAGTGAACGCGCCCACAAGAAAGGAGCACAAAATCACTAATTGAGGTATTGAGTTCTAACAAAGGCCTCCACTGTGACCAGAGCCACTTGGTCAGTTTTATGGTATGACTGTGTTTTTGGATCTGTGGTCCACCGAAAGCTTACACCATGCCTTTATTTTCTGTACTACTGCACCCCGCTGTTGCGGCGCGAGCTGGGGGCAGAACTCTGCATGCGACGAGTATAGATGAAGACCGCGGCGGTCAAAGCCGAAAGACTTTATTGCGTTGGCTTGCACTTAAAGATGTTGCAAGAATCCTTATTGATCGCGCACGTGCTTATTGTTCTTATAATATTGTATTGTAAAATTTAAAAAAACCTTATTTCTTTTGCACAATTTGAAAAGTTACAAGATGGATAGGAAAGATCAGACAGCTAAACGTTCTAGGGGAGGCTAATAGTTAAATATAATTATTGATGATGGAAGTATGCCAAGTACTAGTACTTCAAAAGTTAAAAAGCAAAAAAAAAAAAAGAAAATTTTTATGCATTACGATAAGGAGTATTTAAGGCTTGGTTTCACTGTAGCTCCCAAAATTAAACTAGCGCCACGGTCCTATGTGTAATGTTTCGAAGTTCTTTTAAATGACGCTAGAAAACCGTTTAAACTGGCTCGTCCTTTCTACCGGAAACCTTCAGATTTCACTGACAAGCTACTGGACTATCTTAAAAAATTACGTATACCAAATGAAACCTCAGAAAAGTCAAAAGAAAATGACGAAGACTAGTGACAAGTCGCTGCTTTAAGCGTCTTAGTTGCTTTTCAAAAAGCTAAAACAAAAAATTGGTAAGGGTTAAAAAACCTTGAATCTAATTGTCGCAAAAGGAATTTCTGGTTTTCAAGTTATCAATAAATTAGATGCATACCGCTTTCCGACAACACTAGTTAGAGGAAGGCATCGACATCGAAAAGCAAGATGTAGATGGGATAAAGAAATCGAGCTGATTTGCGTTCTGTTACTGAATTAACTGACGAGAATAATCATGTTATCTTACTTTGCTTCTTGAGGTATAATGACGAATGTTAAGAGAAGAACTTCTCTGTTGTCTTGAATTACTTAACCCACCTCTGGTTTAGTGAGACTGAGTACCCTTTGACTATTATAAAGCACAGGTATTAGACTAAAGTAAATGCGTTGGTGTGATATGTTACCACTTTTAGAGGATATTTTAATGATACTCTGCAAATAATCACAAAAATATTATATCTATGGGTTAATAATCTTCTCTATAAAGATGTAAAATCATGCGCACTCGATCCTCGTGAGAAGGAAAAGTTGACCGAGTTGTCTTCTGGTGTCACTCTGGTGGTGCAATGACATCAAAAGTAATCATTGTTTCATTTTTGTTTACATCTCAGAAAGGAATATTTATCATTAAATTGTACTATAAATTTTTTTTTTTTTGCTTTTTTGACTCCTACTTGTGTGAGAAAACCATTTAAGATATATCAGAAATATAATCCAGTTAGAGAAATCGAGTGAGGTTATTGCAGCTCTTCTTTTTAGAAACAACGCTGCGAACACGTATATGCTTACAAAGAAGCAACAGAAACTTGATAATATAAGTAAAATTTTAACAATGTTTTTTATTTCTGTCTGCTGTCTGTCCGCAGAATATGTTTTCTATTTCCACCTGGTCGCCGCTGTAAAAGGCTGGTATTGATATAAGACGTTATAATAGGGCTTCCCTCTTAGGGTGGCTCGTCCTTTTTTTTTATACTTCCTTTTTTTGCTTCTATAACCTTATTTATTTTACCTTTATATCTTCATATATTGATATCATTTTAATATTTAAAATCCTTTTTCTAAATTTATACAAGCGCTGTGATCGCAAATCTTGGTCTCTCTTGCGTTCTTTTTTTTTAAACTTTTGTTATTCCGTTCTTTACGTTTCTTAGTGTTTTTTATATCTACACACTTTAACTTTTATTATTTACGAGGATAGTTACAGACTATTTTATTAAATTATATGAGAAGCCCTTATAGTTTACTATATAGTTCGTTTAATAAGTTAGGATACCATACTCAAGCTATCCTAGCAGGCAACTTTATAATAAAAGGTGTGCCCTCCAAATAAAGTTAATCGTATATTGTTTAAAAACCCTTTAAGATGCGGTAATTGTTCGTGGTGTGTGAGCTGAAGCAGTAGCTATAATTATATCCAGTAGAAACTTCTATAAGTACTCAAATTAACAAATTCACTTTTTATAGTACCACATAAGCCTTAAGGTACCTTACGATTGACGTCTTTCAGTTTTATAATTATGAATGAAAGTAAAAAGTTAAGCAGGTTTCACAATTCAAGAATTCTTTGTAAAGTAAATTTCGGTAAGTTGTAGTTAAAGAAATCATCCAAATAATAGATTAGTTTAAATAATACTCTTTTAAAGCACATCCGAAACATTGTTGTATCACCGGTACTAGCCCTGCTGGTCGGCTAGCTGGACGAGCCTGCTTCTATTAAGGATTTGGATCTATTGCTTTTGTTTCTACAACTTAATAAGCATAAATACTTATTTTTACTATCTTTAGATCAGTCGAAAAATGAATATTTTATAGCCTCCTTTTTACCAACTCATATAATAAAATCGAAGGACTTGCAAAAATTAAAACTTAAATCTTTGATTAATTAGTTTAGTAGGGGATTAGATGAATGTGCGTCATAATAGAGTCACCACAGTAAAGCTTGGTAAGTAGTAAGAGTGAAGGCCTTCCTATTCTGGCCATCTACGACTGCAGGGAAGCAATATAAAAAGCAATTAAGATAATACTAAACAATTATCGTTGACGGATAGCTTGTTATGTACTCAAACAAGTTATAATGAAAAATAGTTTAAAAAGGAGACTGTAAATAAATAATTAAGTACATTTTTAAAAATGTTATTAATAAAATCAATTAGTTCAGGTAACCAGAAAACTTGGTTCAGTGCATAAAAATCACTTGAAAAAAATACTGAAAAAATTGAGGCTACCTGAACTGAATTTCTCAAAAAACTCTTTGGAGCAGTCAAAATATAAGAACTTAACTTACGTTTTAGAAAAAATGTTAAGAATATTAACTGCATTGTATATATTTAAAAAAAGTTGAAAGAGGCAGATCTACAAAAATAAACATACAAGATAATAACACTTTATAATAAAAGTTATAAGGCAGTGGGCTTAACAATTTTAGGCTAAAAAAATTGTGGACTTTCTCAAAATGCTCCAATCCAAAAAAAACTATTAATTAAAAAGTTATTTATACATGTTTGACTATTTAAATTAAACAGAAAAAAAATTAAACTTTTAAAATGTTAATAAGTTCCTTCAACGCTCACTCATTTGCTTCTTCGCAAGCGTCAATCCATTTGCAATACACATCGATAGGTTGACTCAACTCTAAAAGTATATATATAACGACTCGTAATATTTAAATTATAAAAAAAAATAGTCAAATTTTACGTGTTACGGCGGTTTGAAAAGTTTCATTACAAACAGAGCATGAGATGGAGCCCAAATTACGCTCTTTTTCACTACATTTTTATTATAATATTTGATTAAATATATATTTATTAATAAAAACATAAAAAAACTATTAAAAATAATAACTTAAATAGAAAACAAGAACTCACTTTCTATTTAATAAAAAAAAAATGGTCTCATACTCAAGCGAAAAAAAAAAATAATTAAATAATTTTTATAGTTTAAGTATTTTAAATATGTAAAAATCATTTATAAAGTAATAAATCTGTATCGTTAAAAAATCTGAAAGCTCTTAGCTTTCCTATATTAATTTTGAGAACTAATTTATTAAAGTAGTAATGATTTCAGCTTAAATCAGGGTTATGAATGCAAATAATATTTAAAATATCAAAAAGTATGAAATCAATTGTAGAGGGAACGAACAAGGATACTTCGACACTTTTATCATGATTACAGAAGGGACACTTAAAAGAAACAGGCAATTTTTCAACTCTTTTTTTTATAGGTTTTCTTTTTAGCTTGCGCTTCCCCATTTCATATCAGCCATTTACATGAATACACTAGAGCAGCGTTGTCTTTCAATAGTTTAAAGAAAAGCTTAGAGGGCTAACAATTTTTTTTAAGGTTAAGGGACCGGAAACTCCCTTCGGAACGTACCCAATTTATTTTTTAATTACCTCAGTGGCACTTTTTTTTTTTGATAATTCTGCAGCAGCTCAATATTTTCGAGCGAAGACTGCTGGACTCAAACAATAATTTAAAAATTTAATATAAAGCGTGCCACGAACTTTAGCAATTACATACATTTTTGACCCCATGCGTTTTACATAGAGCATGTTAAGGAAGTTTGCTTCTGTCAACAGTTCAATGCATTTCTGCATTGTTTAAGATAAATTTTAATAAACTTCTTAATCTCTAGCTTAAGAAACTGAAATTTTCATTCTTAATCTACATCTTTGTTGCTAGACTGAGATAACACCTGTGCTCGCCCGTTCTCTAAAATGAACCATAGTCTTCTAGCTTAAAATGACTTCGCTCCCAATAAGGTATTAAAGTAATCGGCCTTATAGATTGAGGTTTCTAGCACGCAAATGCAAAGAAAACAAAGATAGCAACTGAGACAAAACCGCGTTTAAACGTTTAAAACAACGTTGTCAAGTATACCGCCACTAAATTGCTTTACACCCAACCTAAGAACAGCCAGGGGCGAGTGAAGTCGTTTACACGCACATTTAAAGTAACTAAAAGCGACAACACGATATTATCCTACTTATAAGCCTAAAGAAACTTTCTAAGGGGCTTAGCGTACCAGTAAATCTGTTTTTTTAAAGTGAGGATCCAAATAAACATAATAAAATAAAAGCATTATTTTATCACTAATGGACGATCGGAATAGAACAAAAGGCCTTTTAAGAGATGAACGAAGTGAGGGGAAGAAAAAACTATAAAATGCTTAAAATGTCAGAAGTTATAGGCGCTTTACAAAAGGTAATTATGTAATTAAGAATTATACTAATCAAAGTAAATTAAGTGAAAAGCGGATGTTAAGGTCAAGTGCATTGTCATGATTAATGGAATTTATGAAAACAACTACTAATTTAAACAATATTAAAAATAGGTAACATGTGAAGGTACAGAATCAGTGCGGGTTAAAACAGACTTTTGAAGTATTTATAAGTAGGACCATCTGCCAACCATATGATTTCCTAATAGCACACAAGTTTTATATTTTTAGATACAGATTATTTAAGAAGTGAAAAGCACTTATCTCGTCCGATCTGAGAAGTTAAAGTTCCGTAAGCTTGGTTAGACTGCGGTGGCTACCACGTATTGCGCTCCCCTTTGCAGAATCCAGATATGCAAAATGCAGTACTACTGACTAAAAGCTGGGGTATTTTCTGTTGACTCGCTCGAGCACCAGGCACTACACCATTGACTACCTGGGGGCGAGGCCAATAACGGATTTTTGCATGCGCATTGGGCTCTAAATATATAATATGGGTTAGGGCTACATTTTATTTTTTTTGTAAAAATATATGAGATTACTTTAACAGAAGTTTAAAGCTAATGTGTACTGTAGACAACTCCTAAATTCGGTGTTTACCTTTATGACTCGATCGACCACCAGGAAATGCCTTTAATAATAAAAAATAAAGCAGCAGGTTTTTACCTCCCAGTTTATTTTGCTTTTAATTGCTGGGTCATTGCTTGTACTGTCTACGGCTCGCAGTTCAAAGAAGGAATGTGTATAGGTTGTGTTAAGAGAAAAGCCTCGTAAATTCTTAACAAGGAGTCTTTTTTTTAACTCTGAACTCCCTTTCTTAAAATGCAAGCCTGCAGATTCGAAAAAAATGCGTGGAACACCATCAAAAAGCAAAAGGACCAAAATAATAAGAAAATTCCTTCGCTACTGTCTCGAAAAATTAAAAAGTAACACAGGCGTTTCTGCTCGGACATCTACTATTTGACCTAGAAGATGGAAAACCGCCCATAATCACCACCCATAGTGGTAACCCGGAGTACTAGACTCGAGAGACAAGAAAATAACCATAAAATTAATTTGAAACTAAATTCAAGGAACAAAAAAAGGGGTTTGCTTGGGTGGCGATAACAATTTGGGTTATGTTCTTCGAACATTTTTATTTAGTATCAAAAAAATTACTATAAAAAGTTATTTTTAAAACTAATTTGATTAAAGAAAAAAGGAAATTGATCGATGGATATTAATTGTATCAATTTTTCGAATCCGAACATTTATTATTAATATTACGAAGCTTTTACAATGAATCTAGTCCCCAGCTTTATTCTATTACTCCTTTTTTTCATATTTCTTTCTAGCTATTTTTATACCCTTTTATAAATAGTTAACTTGATTAATTTAGTTATCACATATTTCAAAAGGCCTTTTTTTGGAAACGCCAACCAGAATGAACGAGTACACTTTATAATCACAACCGGATAGTTATTTATATAATATTAGCAAAGTTATATTATTGTACATATATAAATTAATAAAATAAATTGTAATCTTAGAGCTCTAAGATATATTTTGGCCAAGTACTTTCAAGAATAATAATTAGGAGCTTGTTTAATCAAATTGATAGGGTAATACTGGTTTTAATGGGTCAGTTCCGTAAAATTTCATAGGTATTCTTGAAGAGGGAGGCACTAGGTTACCAAAGAACACTTGTGTAGACTTGATCTTATTACAATTATACTCGTGAATAATATCCAAGTGAATGATTTTTGTTTTAGTAATGGGCTGAATAGGGTCACTGTCTTTTTTCTATTGTGTTAATAATACTATATTTTAGTCACTACAGTTTAAAGATACAACACGAATAAAAAGAAAAAAGGACATAATGAAATAACCGATTTTATTGTTAAAAAATGAATGCGTCGTAAATCCTTGTTCCACTCCAATTTTATTTATAGTCAGGGGGCCCCTGTCTATAAGGCTAGATTAGTTCCTATAAGTTCTAATGATAAATGTTTTATTTTACAGAGCTACTACACTTATATGTATATATATCATTACTAGGCTGAATATACTGTTTTTAGAGAAAGAGTAGTTGACTAATTTATGGAATATTTTTTATTAATATCGCCTTAAATACAAAGGCCTATATGGAATTAGCAAGCCCGCAGGCAATTATAAAGATATTACCTACAGAGACATATTAATGTAAGCACTCGGGGTATTAGTATATGTTTTCAATTTTCTGTTTGTTTGCAAACTCAAGTTTCCATACCCCCCAACGCAACTTTCTTCTTCGTTATGAGAGGTGTGTACCTCACCCTCAAAATTCTTATACAGTCTATCACTCATACTGGAGCAAGGGACATTATTATTTTCATTAGCAACAGTTTTAGAAAACTATAATTTTTCTCTTTGAATTATTGTTAACAACATGTAAAAGTTAGTTTCGGGCGAAGAGCTCAAAGGAACTGTCTATGAGACAAGTGATATTTTATCATTAGAAGGGTTAATTTCTATAAATGAGGGGTCGTAAAAAGGTCACGAAAAAGGCAATATATATAATATTTTGTATTCATAAATACTGTCTAGTAATGCTTCATCAGAAGTATAAGTATAATACTATATTAACTATCCTGGACATGAAGGGTTTTAACCAACATTAAATATTTGTTTTAGTTGAAAAAAATATTCATTTCGCTTTTGACTTTTTCTAAACAGTAATCTTCAAGGTCAGTTAAACAATGTTAATAGATATTTATGTTTATTTAACTGAGAAAGTATATAGATTTAAGTGGACTTCTGTGTACATATTCTGAAAAGGTTAAGCGACAGGAAATGTTAAAAGTTTACAATAAACAATAGATTATAGAATGAGATCAACCAGTATATATATTGTTCCTAGATCTTTATTTTTAAAGTATTACTAAAACGCAAAAGGCTTATGGCTTAATTTTAGGTACTTAGGTAAAAATTATATCTTGGCTGTTAACAGAATTGCTTGAACTGATAAATTTTTCTTGTTATTAATACTTTCTAGATATCAACTTTATTAAAAATAAATATTCAAAAGAAATTTAATGTTTATTATAAAACTTTAAAATACAAAAATAATATAATTTCTAATAAAAAAACCCTAGAGCCTATTTCTAGCGTCAAAAGCACACAGTAGAATTTAAACTTTAATTTAATATAATGTGAAATGGATAAAAAGTTACTTTACATGGCATAACACTTGTGGAGGTTGTTTATTAAATAAAGCAAGGTTTAAACTCATAGTTAAGTATTGTTGTATTTAAAAAATAGCCTAGTTTATGTGAAATTTACTCATTATGTATGTATGAGTTATTGTGAACTTACATATGCTTTATTAAAAGAAAAATTATCCTCAAAAAATTTGTTAGTAGCAGAATTTAAAGCATAAACCACAAAAAGTTCTAAAAAACTTAAAACTATTTTTAAGATGATTAATTTTTATGATAAAAACATTGTTGACTGCAGGATATTATGTTATAACTAGTATAAACTGTAATAATAAATAAATTATTAAGTGCCTCAAAGTGTTGATCGACGAAACTTTATCTTAATTTTTCCAAAATTCATTTATTATTGTTTTCTTCTCAGGGCAAAAAATTTTTAATTGTGTCCAGCCCAAAGTTAGTTGAAAATTTATTTTTTTAACGTAATCACTAATAATAGGTTTCCTGATATTAATATAAGGTTACTATCTTAGAAGAAATAAGAGTACATACACGATATAATTTATAATTTATTTGTTCAAAACGATACTATCCCATATTTTTTTCCTCATATAGCCCAGTTTACAAAGAGGGCTTTTTATAAACTCTTAACTAATGTGATTAATTGAATACCAACGAATGTACAAGTTCTTTTAAATTGATAAGAATAATTAATAAATAAAATCAACTTTTTTTTTTATTTCATTTACAAGCTCTCATTATCTGTACAGGTTTCTAGTAATAAAGAAAGTGAGTAAAAATATATTTGATTTTTACTTTATTTTAAAAAGAAATGGGTTGTATACATCTTTTATATATGTAGAGCTAATTTGTT